GAAATACTAAAGCAAGTGATCTGCACTGTCATTGGCTCAGTGTGCTGTGGTATTAAATTCAAAGGAGTGTTAGTGTCAGTTGCAGCATAAGAATCTCTGACTGAGAAGTGTGCCCGGTCTGATGGGTCCCTGTCACATGGGCAGAGTATTCATGTGATACAAATACATGTATGTGCTCAAAGTACTTATCGTTATTTACCATGACTTTAATTATGGAAATGTCTAGAAACATGGAACAGGGATGTGAGCTTCGCCTGTCAGTTTTGTGACAGCATTTTAGTTTTTTTTTCTGTTCAAGTAGCCTTGTTTCTTTAAGCAGTCAGGTAAATGAATATTGGCAAACCTGCTAGAATCCTACTCTGATATTTATGTGTGCACTTGGTGCTTATGTGTTCATATGGTATGTTAGTGTAGTGTTCTATCATATACAACGTTTTAACCGAAATGGATATTGGCATAATAACACAGGAATGATCACAAATGAAGGAACTTGAGTGCCCAGATGAGGTCTAGAGAGAGTATGTTTCCCCAACTAGGCTATGCTGTATAATTCTTGAGGCCATATAAAATGCAGAAAACCAGTTATTTCTTGAGATGGTGTTTCAAACATTTGTGTCTTGTCTACTGCATGTCTAAAATAGCTTTGTAACAAATTCTTTAGTTATTTTTGTAGGCAAATTGATTTTTCAGGAACGAGCAGGACTTTGCAAGCTTGTGTTTAAATAACAAGAAAGGTTGGAGGTAGAAACGTCAGTTGCCTGAAAGATGATATATTTTCATTTTGGGGTTTAATGCTGTCAGTTGGTTTTGAACATACTTAAGCATCTCTAGTTCAAAATTCTTACTACACTGCTTCTGAAATTATAGAGAATAAACACATTCTTATTGCCGACCCTTTATGCACATTACTGTTTCCAGCTGAACTCAGAATTCTGTTTTTCTTTCTCTTAGTCTTTGCATCATCAGTGAATTGTAGTATAGAGGAAACCTGCAACTTAATTACTTTACAACTGGTTGGGTTTTTTTTCAGTGCAGAGTGTATTTTTTATAAGGAGATATTGTTAATATTCATTTATCTCAGTCAATTTGGTTGATTTAAGGTAGGAACTACTGTCTTAACATACGAGTATGCAGGATAGAGTCTCAGTGCAAGACACTTCCCTCATGCCAGGGTCTTATTGAAAGACACTTAAGATACACTTTTGATAACTCCGTCCCAAAACTTCTGATATAAAGCAAACTGTTTCTTAGTTTCAGAATTCTGTGGTGGTGTGTTTTCTTGAGAATGTTGAAATTATATCATCTTTCCATCTTTTCTCATGTGTTTTAATAGCTCATGCTTGTCCTGGCATACCAAGAATGTAAAAATCCTCTTGAAAGAGTAAATATTTCTAGTTTTTTTTCCCATAAAGTATTGGTGAGTTTTGATTTTTTGCACTGTAATTTAAAATAGTAAGTTGTGATTAAATGTTACAACTAGTAACTTCTAATGAAAGCCTTAATAATTTTTCATAATCTAGTATTAGAATACTCTGCTTCATGCATTTAAAGGTAAAATCTAATGAACTGTTTTGAAACTAGACCATTGACTTAGAGTGATTATGAGTCTACCTGTTTAAATAGCATTTCAGATAGACCCAGTAGACTGTCCCAGTCCAGAGTGGATACTGAAATGATACATAGGCCATGCTTTAGTGCAGGAAGCCTCACTTCCGTATGAAAGGCTGCACTGTGTTGATATTGTATTTTATCCAGGTATCCCAGAATGATGCTGCTCATTTTCTTTGTTATACTTCGACATACACTTGAACAGAATAGAGGGTTAATGTTGAAAAATAATTTGAATCCTTAAGTTACTTTGGCATGCCGGCTGGTTTGAGCTATGCAGAAATAAAAACTATTTAATCTGCTCCCCTGCAAATGTTTTAGGAATGTAAGTGGCTTACTTTATGGCATCACATCAGACCATGATACTTTCTCCATTTTTTACATCTAATTCAATTCTAAATTACTCCTTTAACAAAAAAAAAAACCCCAAGCCAACTAAACACAACACACACAACCTCTTACACCTTATGCTGGTTTTATTTCTTGTTATAAATTAAGATGTTGTATCTTTAGAAAGGTGTGATAACTCCCACTTAGATCATAATGTGCTAAAGTGCAGTGAATGCTAGCTGTAATCAACAACAGTGAGAAAGAAAATGGCTATAAAAAGGAAAATTTGAAGTTTTTAATTGGAATGTGCACTCTTTTGAAGTGGTTAATGTTTTGAGTTCTTATGCCAAGAAGTTTACATACTGTTTTCTGAGCATTTTGTCTCTGCCCTCATTTATTGAATTAATTCTTTAATTAATGTCCTTTGGGATATCTTCCAGTTGTGGAACTTGTACTAAGATTTCCTTTTACAGAACTTGAGACTTAATATTAGCTGTTTCTGAAGCGAGACACTAACCTCTGTGTGTCTTTTGCAAGTAAATGTTGACTGGCTCATAGGAAATGCAGCTGACGTTAGGAAGCTTGGGTGGGGACTACAAGGAGCTGGCAAATACTACAGGGTCCAGTGCCAGACATGCTGACACAACAGTACTTCACTTGTACAAGTTTTCTTTAGGCTGCTAATTCTGTCTTCAGAGTAACTGGAACCAAAGCAGTGTCTCTGATGCCAAGTTAAAATAGCTAAAGCAACAGTTTATTGGAAATTGAGAATGCTTTCCATGGCTTAGATCCTTAGAAATATCAGTAAAAAGAGCAAGCTTCCCTCTTAATGAAAGGGTGAGTTATGAACAGTGTCATATAATGAATGCACTGCAAAACAAGTCCCTCTTAACTAGAGTGAATGTCAAAAACAGCTCAAAGAGGGAAAGGCTAGCATTGTAAAGTATCTGTAAATACTGTGCTCTCAGTGGTTTACATCACAGTTTCCATTTATTTGATTTGCCACTTCATAGTCATATTTCATAGGCCACCCTTTAAATGGCTTCCTTTAGGTTTCAAATAAAAATTATTTTCTTCAAATGTATCTAGACATTGAGAAATGCTATGTAAGCACTCCTACAGCAGTTTGACCATGCCACCTTAAGAATAATGTGTTTTTTCTCAATTTTACAGTATTTCTGGTCCATGTAAGAGCCTAAGAAGTAGTAAGGCAAAGCTTTGAAGGGGGATAAAAGTGAAATACAGCTTAAGTTTGCTTTGCAGAAGTTCAGGCAGAGTATGAGTTGCTGCTACCATGCTGTCTCTAGTTTTGTATGTGGGAGGACTTGCAGGAGGCATCGTGGAGAGGAATCTTGCCGGGGAAGGCAGGCCTGGCTTACAGAATATAAAAACTGCTGCAGTCTTGGTGGAAGGATACAGCAATATTACATAAACATATTGGTTTTGTTTTAATTTCATCATCACCCTTAGATTTTAGGAAGTGCTTCCTTTCATTCCTTGACTGTAGGACTCAAAGCTAAATGTAGAAGAAAGGAAATTCAGATGGTGAATTTAATCTGCTCAGTGTTTGTGCAGTGCAGTGTGCCATGACAAGTTAGCTTTAATGTTGTTGCCTCTTTTAAGGTAGGCACATGCATTGTGCTCTCCCACAAAAGTACAAGTTCAGATAGACTGGAGCAGCTTTGCCTAGAGCAGCTGGATGGCAGCATCTTACATCCATGGGAGACACAGACTTCTGCTGGCCTCAGAATAACAGATCACCTCTGAAGTCTTCTCTGACCTATTTTGTCAAGTTAAAATGAAATAAAAGCAATTTATAATAATAATGAAAGATTATTTTTAAATCCTGGAGGAGTTTTTTTACATGAAAACTGTCATATAAAATAAAAAGTAGATTGACTAGTTTTTTCTCTGAGATCACCTTAATAATTTTTCATAACATCAGTTATCAGCTAGATCAGTTCGACTGTGGGATGTTGGACATTGATGTCTTACAGACCAGGATTTGTCTTTTCCTGAGAGTAGCTCTTAGTTCATTTTTAAATCTACGAAATGTAAACTGTTGCTTTCTGAAAGCTATGTGGCAAGGAACTATGTAGCCCATGACTTGACTAAATCAAGCTGTTCAACTGATCATCGATTTTTTTTGTGTAGCTCTTGCTGGGGATCTGTCCCCATGTGTCTCTGGACATTCTGTACTGCCTGATTGCTTCCAAATTATTACCTGGATTGTTGCCCTCCCAAGTAGGTAGATTGTCTTCCTGAACCAGATCCTGTCTCTGCCAGTATGAGTGTACAAAGAAAGGCATGTGTGTCTTAGCTCCATAAAGGGGGGTGGAGGACATGTTTGAAAAAGAGATTTAAACAAAAGGTTATTTTTCTTTGAGATAAAAGCACAGAAACTTTGGAGAACATTGTCTTTATCTTGGTCACAAATTTGTTAAACGAAGGAGCATCTGAGAGATGTTATGATGACTCTTTGCTTCCAGAGAGAAGTTCCTTTGTTGAATAAAAATTGTGCAGTATCACTGAAGTGATCTGGTCAGTGTCCAAGATTTCAACTGTCTCAGGGGATGTATTGCTGACATTCTCTATGGCCTGTTTAAGCATTTCTGTTTACAGATTTGTAGAGTGATCTATTTGCAGTGCAGTGAGACTGCACTTCCTGTAGTTGAATGGTGTTGCTTAACTGTGGTCAGCTGAATTCCTTGGACAAGAGTTGGATTTTTCTAATGTAATGCCAATAGATTTTGCCAACAATAGCTGGCAATGAAGGCACATGCAAGGCTAGCATGAATTTCTGATGGTATATTAGATACTGTGAACTCTGTTCCTAATAATTTTCTGCATCATTCTGCAAAAATGAGCTGCAAAAATGGCTTTGCAATTATCTATTACAACTTCCGTACTAAGTCTTTACCAGTAAGCAGGAGTTTTTATGAAGTTTATGGATGGACATTTGCTTTGATTTAGGAATGCTTTCAGCAACATGGTAGCTGACACTAGTTGTTTTAGACGCTGACAAGAAAGTTTGAGTATCAAATTTATTTTTTTTTCCTCAGATGGAGCAATTGTCAGATGAAGAGCTTGACCATGGTGCAGAAGAAGATAGTGATAAGGAAGATCAGGATCTCGACAAGATGTTTGGGGCCTGGCTGGGTGAACTGGACAAACTCACACAGGTGAGGGAGGTTTCAATGATCTCAAAGAATAATTTTTTGTTAGTATTATGTTTCTTTTCAGTTGGATGCCAACTGCTTGACAGTCACTTGTATAAAAGTAGACCGTAGCCTGTGACCAGTTCTTTAAAGATTTATAAATTAGCTCATTTTCCCCATCCTGAGGTTGTTTGATGTATCATAAAGGGCACAGTTCCTTCCCAGAATTACAGACCTGGTATTTTGTCCTTATGGATGCAGAGCAAGACGGACTTCAGCTGACAGAAGATAGGTTGTGTCTCAAAACATGTGGTTTGACATTGTCCAGCTGTGACAGCATTTATTTGTTGCACCTGAACAGCAATAAGAAAAAACTGTGAATGTTGCCACCGATTACATGATAAGATACCCTGATACACCTTCAAGGACTCACCATTGTCCCAGAATACTCCTCCTGCATCAGTGAAGCAGCTGATAAGACATCTTTCAGTCCTTCCTTCTTTGTAGTGCTTTTCCTTTGCTTCACAAGCAGACAGTGCATTTTGCATGGTGTGCTGCATTCCTGGGGTGATCAGCCATTTCTCTGTGACTGCCTGCAGGGGTGTTTCAGCTGTGTGAACTCACCTTCCTGAATAACGTATTAAATCTTCTCCCTGTTTGTCATGAAGAATTAAGCAGAGGTGTGATAACTGAAGGTTCATTAAGCTAAAGAAGAGGCAGTTTTTCTCATCTTCTTCGTACTTGAAGACTGAAGGAAAATTGAGCTAATCATGTAACAGGGTTTCAAATTCAGACTCGTCTCTGTTACTGTCTCTGCCAGCAAGTTCTAAATGTATATAGCACTATAGGGGAAATTTTTATTTTTTTCCCCTGAGCTCACACATGCGGGGCAATAAAGAATCCTGCCTTCTGAGATGAGTGGAAGAGTGTGACGTGAATCTGTATATACTAATTCTTGCTGGTTTTAAGTGGGGTTTTAAAGGGTTTTTAACCCTTACTTTGAAGGATTTTTAATGGTGTGAACCATTTTGAGGGCATGGGCATTGCAAATTGCCTTGAGTGAGGATATTCACAGAGAAGCACAATGGGTCTTAGACCCATTAAGCATTGCTCAATTTCAGATATTCTGCAGGCCTGTTGAGCTTCAGTGACAGCAAGAATCCCCATGTAACACATTCCACTGCAGGGACAGCAGCTTCTGACCCTGTCATGTACTTCTTGGGTCAGCAGCTGGATCATAGCTGCCCTGCTGCTTGCTACTTAAAAAAATCCTGATATTATAGCCATCATATTAGCCATCATAGCATAACAATTCAATGAGTCTTATACCCTTTGTTCTCTGCCCCGTTTTTTAAAGATATGAGCAGCCTGAAAATACAAGTATACTTTCCTTGGGACTTATGGCTACAGTATTGACATGCAGACTTCAGGGTGATGTCTCAGTTTGTTGCTAGTCCATACAAATTTCTTAAAACCTACTAAGAGGTACTTAATGGTAGGACCCACATTACTTGTTTCTTACCTTCATAGTGCTGTTCGAGACAGTCTGCAACATAGCCTGACAGTTGCCCTTCTATCTTTTGCAACTACTGAGAAATGACATTTCCCCCAGAACTTTGAATGAACTCATATTGTTCTCTATACACAAGTTAACAGAGTTGGTTTTGTCTCAGTTCATTTATCTGGACAATCATCAAATCTTGATGGAGGTGATTAGAGTTTGTGAGATCCAAAGTGCATTCTGTAATTTCAGCATTTGCTGCTATCTATCAGCGGGACTTCAAGAGCAGTAGAGGAAAGGTTTTTGTCTCTGAGATCCTTGATTTTTAACTTCTTTTTAGGTTTCCTAAATGTTTATTTTGAGGTGATTTCAAATAATACCCAGATGTAAGTGCTTTTTAAAAGATCTGAAATTGTTTAAATACCCATGGGAATAATTTCAATTCACTTTCCCTCTTTAACTCTTGGTTCAACAAAAGCATTATAAAATGAAGTCACGAAATCTGCAGCATGTGTGAGCAATACTTGGCATTAATGAAGGGTGTCTCAATATTTATTCTGCTTAAGTTATCCTGCTGTATGGTACAGGTTAAATGAAAAAAAAAATTACCTTGCTTCTTATGATTATTTATAATTAAGCTTTTGGGGCTGTTGCAATTTTTAGCAGTTCTCTAAACCTCTTTTTTAGCAGTTATGGAGAATGTGCTCAAATAATAGTGAGGGCATATCACTTGTGTGTCCAATGATCTGCAAGAAGTTTATTAAAGCCAGTACAACACTGCTGAGCTGCTTTTAACCAGAATATATTTGCTTCACAGGAAATCTTTTGTAGCAGTCTGTGTGTTCAGTCTGAAGGAACGGGACCTAACTTGTCTCTTCTGTCTTCAGGTTCACTGATGTCTCTCTAGGATTATAGACTTTTTTGTTTTTTTAAAAGTCCAGGCCAAACTGAGAAGAGAAGGGAGCTCAGGAAGAATAAATAATAGGGGAAAAAGTAGTGCATTTGATCTTTTTAACGAAGGCTTGAGTAAAGATATAGAAAATGAATATAAAAAGTTTAGGTCAGAAACTTCATTCTGTTGGAACTAGAAGATGCTTTTCCTTTAGGTCAGGAACTCTTTATCAGTACAAGCATTCCCTAATTTCAGATGATCTGCAGGCCTGTTGAGCTTCAGTGACAGCAAGAGCTGGATTCCCCATGAAATACATTCCACTCCAGGGCCAGCAGCTCCTGGCCCTGTACTTCTTGGGTCAGCAGCTGTATTACAGTGCCCTAGTGCTTGCTACTTAAAAAAATCCTGGTATTTATTATAGTGCTATACCCATAGCATCATAACATAACAACTCAGTGTATTAGTTAGAAAGAGTTTCTTTTTTTCATTTATGCTAGTTTTCCTAAAAAAATGTGTCCTACGTAAACTGGCTGGGGTTGGTTTTTATAACTTAATGTTATTCACAGGAAAGACTATTGAAAAAAATTTCTGAATTTAGTGAATTTAAATCCCTGTTAATAAAATCAGATTCTTCATTGAATGTTTGCAAGCACTCATGCCCTGATTATGCTCATAAGCTTATGGTGGATATCTTAGACCATATCTTAGACTCTTATCCCAGTTTAATGTTGTGCAGTTTCCTGCAGAGAAATAATTACAGGTAAGTCAGCTGTCTGTTTCGAAATGAGCCAACACCACTGAAAAGCATTTAGAAAATGCTTCTCACTTTTTGATTCTGAAAAAAAAAGCAGTACGTGTTTAACAAGTTTTCTTCACTGCTTTTCTGAAGTTAAATCTCTGTAGGATGACGATGTTTGTTTTCAGTCTAAAGCCTGTAAAACAGAGGTGCTTTTATATATACCAGTAACTTTTGAAAAATTTCTCTTAGAGAAAATTAATTCTCATTCATCTTAAAGATTTGCTTGTCCAATTCCTTGTCAAATTTTATTTTGCCCTTTTTTTGATCTTTTTCAGAGTTTGGATGCAGACAAGCCTGTGGCACCTGTGAAGAGGTCGCCTCTCCGCCAGGAAACCAATCTTGCCAACTTCTCATATCGCTTCTCCATGTATAATTTGAATGGTTTGTTGAATTATTTACCACATGTAGTTTAAGAAAAATAGTAGTTTAAGAAAAACCTATTTCAACTATAAATTAAAATATTGTAAAATATAAGAACATTTGAATACACTTGCACCTGAGGTGAGAGCCTATTTGGTGAAGGCATTGCTTTCTGGTGTCCTTTTCTTCAAGTATTTGAGTCTCCTAAAGTAGTGTCTTTTACAACACCTGGTATCTGAGAACTGTAGGGTGGTATTTATATAAAAAAGCTTGTTCTGGGATCGGGTCTCATGAAAGAATGAATTAATGTGTATCTGTTAACTGGGAAGAAAGAACATCTTGTTTTATGGAACAGGATGCAGAAATATAGCTACAGAATGCTTTCAGGATAAACAGAAGGAAACCTTAATTTAAAGATTTGAGTATGTATATAGTATTTTTGGTTTTGTTTTGGTTTTTTTTAAAGCAGTTGCATTACTTTAGCAGAAAATGCTTAGCAGAACATCTGCACTTTTTGGAAAAGTGAGGCATGCTGTGCAAATGCATTTTTTACATTCTGTTCACAGGAAAGCAGTTTAAACTTTTCAGATGTAATCTCAGCTTTCATAGACTTATTTTGCTGACAAATGAGTTTAAATAGTTTGAAAGTTGCACTGGTCAAGGATAGTAGTGCAAATTAATTTCTGTTCAGCAGTGGGCAGATATTTTGCAACACAGATGGGAAAAGAAAATACTGCTTCCTTTGGTCTCTTAACCATTATATTTGATAACACAAACTGAGGCATCGTAAATGAAATAACTCTGCACATACTACTACTCTGACTGCTCTTGTTTGTTGCAGAAGCCCTGAATCAGGGGGAGACTGTGGATCTGGATGCCCTGATGGCTGATCTCTGTTCCATAGAGCAGGAGCTCAGCAGCTTTGGCTCTCATTCAGCAAACAATGCTGCAGTGAAACGCCTTGCCACAGAGCCCAAACCTCAGAAACCGCCTGCTAGTCGGCCTTCCACTAAGCACAGCAGCGTGAAAGGATTGTCCTCCTCCTCTGCTAAGGCGACACATGCCAACGTGTCTCTGGATGACATCACTGCACAGTTAGAGAAGGCCTCTTTGAGCATGGATGAAGCAGCCCAGCAGTCTGTTGCAGAAGACACCAAGCCCGTGGTTGGTGCCCAGCACAGGAGGACAGCGTCTGCTGGCACGGTGAGCGATGCCGAGGTGCGCTCCATCAGTAACTCCTCCCGTTCCAGCGTGACCTCGGCAGCTTCCAGCATGGACTCCTTGGATATCGATAAGGTGACGAGACCTCAGGAACTGGACTTGACATCACAAGGGCAACCAATCACTGAGGTAGGTACAACTAATTCAAGATTTTTGTTTGGTTTGGGTTTTTCTCTTCAAATATACACCTCATTCCCTGTGCTAACACTCGTAGCTAAACATCTGCAGTGGGGTTGATTGAAGACTTGTTTTTACAGCACGTAAACTGCTCATGTTGTACCTACTTCTTTCTCTGGTTTTGGGTCTGTCTGCAAGGAAACTTCTTATAAAGAATGTCTTTGGTTTTGGTTTATTTAAGAGCTTTCCCATCTCCTCCTCCTCCTCTCAAGCCAATCATGCATTTTAATGTTTTTAAAATTAATATTTTTTCAAAGTATATATCACATATTGCCTTTAGTTTAAATCTGAGGAGTGCATAGCTGTGGACAAAAGAAAGCACACTTGACAAAACTCCATTCCTATTACAGTACAGTTAGTACCTGAAACACATGGAGCAATCTATGGGTGTCTATCTGGAGCTATACTATACCAGTAATTTGCTGCTACTTAATATTCTTGTTTAATGTATGACAGGAGGACCTCTTTGAAGCAATACACAACACAGAAAAATAACTGGGCTGCAATACATTAGGAGATATTCATTTGGAATTTTGATGCTTTGACATAGATTAATCAGAGAGGAAACTTCAGTAAGAACAGCCAGTTCAGTGAACATTGCAAGTGCTGGTGACTTGTGAGAGAAAATGTGGAAAATGTTCTAGTGAATTTTGAGAACTTAAACTTAGAAGTTCTCTTGTAGAACTACTGTCTGAAACAGGAATCTGACCTGTTAAAATGTCTGTTGTACTAATATGCATGTTCTCTTTCGTGAGAGGAAACTGGAATAAGCTGAGTTTATTCTAATCAATAATTAAAACTAATCTGAACGGGCTGTACTGAAAGCATGGTTCTACACATCTGCAACAAAAGTTCATCTGATGTAAAGTGAACCATGCAGGCTTGTCAGTCTTATGATCAACTCATTGAGGTCACACTTTGATTTAAATCTTTATTTGAAATGGTGAGAAATGAATGACAGTTTAGGTCAACTTTGTTTTTGTATAAAAAGTTTGTGTTCAGTGTGCTTTTATTGGAGATCTCCTACTGAGTGAAGCAAAACAGATAGAAATGTGCCCTTTGCACTTTGGAAAGTTAAAATGCAAACCTTTGCATTATTGCTGTAGGCCTAAGTGTTCAAGCCTAGCCTATGACAGTCGTTAACTATATTGTTGTTTGTTTGAGAATCGTTTTATTTTTATGGTATGATAAGGCTTATTTTTTGTTTTTTGGTTTTGGTTTTTTTTTTTGCATCTCCAGCTGTTAAGCATGATTATATGTCTGTCCTTATGACGTAGAAAGTTAGGCAGTCTTGGATTTTGGTCTTTTCTCAGGCTAAAAAGATGGCTTTTGTGAATTAGTTGCTCTAGCTTGCGTAGCATAAGAAAAGCATGAATGTTTCATTTTTAAAATTTTTTTAATGCAAAGTGTTTTCTGCATTGATCTTGCAGGTCTCCCTCTAGATTCTCTTTTTCTTTGTGAGTTACGTGCTTGAGGCATCAGTAAAATTGCCCTTCTTGTCGCCCAGATTTTTTCAGTCCTTTGTGTCATGAGTAATCAATAAACCACCTGCTGCCCTTAATTACCTTGATGTTGATGAATCAAGGGACAGAGGTCAAGAAGTTGCTTTGTCTTCGCAGGAAGCTAATCTGTAGTGCTGCAAGTGTTGCAGTTGCTGTTTCTGTGCTCTTGACCACTGACTGCAAAGCTCAAACTCATCCCCAAAAGTTTTTCTCAAAGACATGTGAGGGCTGCCTTTGTACAAATGCAGTGATTGCTTCTCATATAAGAATGTGCCTATTGTTTCTCTGCCCAGATAAGTTGATAAGAGTGATTGAGTCCCATTCCTTTGTAGGAGGTAACCAGAAAGTGTCAGTAATTTGAGATCCAGATTCTGCTCTAGTCTTGAGAACAGAAACCTCTGCACTCATTAACCATGCTGTTTGCTTGGGCTCTATCTATTCTTTTTAATTTCAGTAGCCTGAGGAAGGTGTTCAATTTTGAGAAATTATCCCCAAGTTTACAGAATTGGTATTCAATTATTCAGTATTAAAATTTTTATATGATGGGATGGGACTTTTACTGAGAAGTAAGTTTCTTTTCTCATCACTGGTGAACAGAGAAAGGGAAATGACTTTTTTTTTTGAGTTTGTGACAGATTATATGGTGGTGTTTTTTAAATTAATTTAGATTTTAAATGAATTCTTTGGAAGAATGATTTAGTATCAACCAAGCTGTTTATTTCCTCTGCCATTCATTTAGCACCCAAAAATACTTAAAGGGTTTATTAATCCTCTTGGCTAGATTGTGAACCAAAATTACCTTTTACTAGTAGGGCTGAATTGTACCCTCCCACCCACACAGTTGACTCAATGGTGCTGTTTCTAATAGAAAACATCCCTCTGAGGAAATAGCCTTTGAAGACATCCTAGGGTCCATATAAGGAAAAAACCCAACAGTTTTTATGCAGAAAGTGGGAGAGGCTATTTATTCATGGTCACAGCAGATCTGTTTGAGATTTATTATTCTGAAGTAGTGCTTCAAGTTAGCTCTTTTCTTTTGCCTGTCTTCCTTGAGACTGCCTGTAGGTGAACTGACCTTTAAAATTTTTCTTTACTGCTGTGGCTCTTCTGAAAGAGGTCAGTGTCTTGGCAGCTCTGCCCTTTTGACCCATACTTTCTGTCTTCTCCAGGCAGTATAGGTACTTTAAAAAGTCATCCTTTCTGCTGTAACTTCATGTTATGCTCTTCCTGAGAAAAATGGAAGACAGTTTTGATGGGAGGAAATGCTTGTCTGAAAAAGAAAATTAGGCTTTGCAGTTGTAAACTTCAGTAATCTATCTTAAAAAATAATTCTGCTCTCTATTTAAGAGCTCTCTTACCTGGAAGCACAGGAAAATCCCGTAAAAGAGCAGTCATGCACTGGCCCACTGAAGGTAGATATTGCCTGGTATTCTCTCTGGCTGGTAACAGGAACCAGTATTAGGGAAAAAGGCTGCAATTCCACAACCACCAGAAATGGGAGGATATGACTTCCCTTTCTTCTCCTCCTTCCTTCCTCACAGTTTTTCTTACACTCTCATCTCCTCCCTTGTCCCAGCTTTGGCACTTAGCTGGTACTTAGTGCACCAACACTTTGTGCTTCTAACCTGTGTCTCATTCTGTGTTACTTAGGTAAACTGCAGAGGCTTAGAGGACTGATGGACATTAGCAGGGTTGTAGCCAAGGACCGGAGGTTAGAAGGGAGAGCAGGAATTCATTGGTGGTAATTGATTATTCAGAACTTCTTGCCTGAGCATTTGGACAGGCACCTTAGTGTCTTGTCTTCCTCTTTCTCCTAGCAGCCCGTGCTATAAGAAATTCCTGGGGCTGAGTATAAATCAGCATGATGACCAGTGATCACTCTCAGGGATCATATTGGCCAGGACCATCCTTGTACTCATTCTAAATTTGTCTTTAGGCCACTTTCAGGGGAGTTGGCTGAAGTTCCCTTGGTTGTGTAAAATAGTGGGGTTATTAGTTGTCATCATGGTTTAATTTGCTTCCTTTCTTCCTTGCCTTTCTTAGTACTATCTCTTTAGACCTTGTGAATGTTGATGTTTTCAAAGACTATCACTTTGTAGTCTTGAGACCTTGTCATGCTGGTGTACTAAGTGTTTTCTAACTGCACTTATGTTCTTGTCTTCAGTCTCCTCTTACCTATTGTTGAATAAAAAGAAAAGTTGTCTCCACCCCACCCTAACCTCCATAGTTTTTTGCTAAATTGAAATTTGTCTTTAGCAAAATGACTTCACAGATCCTTGCTTGAACAGTACTCTTTCTAAAATTGATAGGTTGCATTTCATTTTCTATGCTTTTAGTTGTGTAATAAGTGGCATGCACCTTAAAATGTTTCTGTGGGGAGTTACTTTATTTGTATGTAGACCAAATTATTGAAGTAATACCATAAGTTGAAGGTAGGGGAAATGATGTCTCTATGACTAACTTGTTGCCTCCACCCACATTATCTTTTTCTTCTTCTTTTGGTCCCTCTGTCAGCAAGAAGTTGTCTCTGTTTTCAGTGAGCTGTGCTAGAGCAGGAGAAGAAAGCAGAGGGGAGAGAATGGAGAACTGTGTTGATGATGTAGCGGTTTGTGTCTGGCGGGTGAAAGGCTCCATTCATGGGCACTCATTGTTACTGTCCTGCACACGCTCAGTGAAGAGGTTGCAGATAAGTTTGAAGTCTGCCATCTGGTCTGGCACAGTTCAGCATCACCCCCCAGCCTCTTTATGTCTGTAACCCAGTTTGCACAGCTGAGAGATTCTGCACATATAAAGATAATGCAAAATTTAGCTGTAACACTACTTTATTTAACTGCATTTTATTTTTTAGCTTTTACTTAAACTCATTGTAGATTTATACTTGATGCATGAGGGGTAAAAATCATGAGAAGAAGAGCGTGCCAGTGCAGTAAAGCCACATGGTTTTTGCTTCACTTGACAGAGAAGGCAGTGTAGAGTAAACATTAATGTTTCTTTCAGGGTGAAAAAGGGAGCTTTGGAGGCATGAGAGTTAGTAGCAATCGTCATGTAAGCTCAGCACACATAAATAAATCTGTTCTGGATAAAAGATCCTGTGGGATAAAATGGAAAACTTGAAATGGACATAAGGGCTCATAAAATTTGTGTTCCATAGCAGTTTTTCTATAGGTCTTACATGGGCATGTTAGCATTTCATTTGCCTGTGCAGCAGTATAACACAGAAGCTTTGGTACCCGTTTAAAATCATTGTCATGTTTTATGTGGGATTGCTAAATGTTGCATTGTATGAAAAGGCAGTTAACTGTTAATGTATGCAGACAAACTGATGATATATATGGTCTTTGTTAGGCAATGGTGTCTTAAAATAGAGTTGGACTGCTGAATCTCATCTGTTATTTGTAGGTGGTTTAAAGAAGAGTTGTGGTCTGTTTCAGCTCTTGCAGGAATAGAGCA